GACAAGGTCAAAATAGGTAAATTGTCGTTGTTTCGACATCAGATGATGAGTGATGTCAAGGCCACGAATTTGAGTTATTCAGCATTGAACTTCGACTAGCTGCGGCATGCAGGACTCTGGTGACCACTTCGGCAGCTGGGTCTCCTTTGAAGGGGATTTGTATAAACTGTAAAACCTTCTGTACAATTGATAATTCTGTTTCTACCGTCTTCTGGACAGATATGTTCTGCTCTGAATAACAAATAGTGTACGTTTGCAGGCGAGCTGTAGGCATCCAGGAATCTTGTGTACTGTCCGCTCCAAGTGGCCATTCGGTGAACTTTCCACTGGATGGATCCATCTGAACGTCCCTTTAAGTTATGGCCTAAGAGCTGTTGTTCATTCTTTCCTCCTTGCTCAAATGTAACGCTTATCGATAGATATGCTATATTAAATTTCAACATAACATCATTCAGGTTCACTTGTAATAGCCGAGATATGCTCTGAACCCACTCCTTTGCGTCTCTCAGAAGAGCTCGATGATGTTTCTCCATGATTCCGGATTCTTTTCAGGTAGTGTGTTCATTAGCTATATTGCTTGTGATTGAAACGGTGGGCTTATTTTTCGACAATGCAGGGTGATAAAGGAGTTTTTAAATCTTTGGAATCTCCAGTGTAACGTTCAAATGCCTTGTTAATTTGCACATTTCTTCTAGAAATTATACCTACTCGTGAGTAGTACAATTGTGAAGCGCAAATAAACTTTCACCTTCCGGTAACATTCAGTCACCTGTATGCGCATCGCTGTTGCAAATTTTTCTATGCCGCACAACCGATAAAAGTCATTAAGCAATATGGAAATGTTGTCACATTAGTTTTCAGGTTTCGAGGTCGAATTTCACGTATACCGTTTCCACTTTTCCAATAATTATGTAATTTTACCGTTTTTTGTTTGGTCTTTTCTTGCACCTTGTGATTCGCGTGAAATTTGTTTTACGCTCCTGGATAAATTCAGGCTATTAACAGTACATTTTTTAAAAATAACCGTCCAAGTTTTTACATGCGATGGAAATGTTTGTGATAACTAACAAAGAGCAAGGACGGCTGATACGTCCAGTAAGGGACCCGTCAGCAGTGCGCACACTTTGAGTATGCGTCAGGGCTCGAACCACGAACTCTCGGGTAGGCACTTCAGACCTTTACCCCTGAGCTACACGGTCGACGGTATGGTCGTTAAATATCGTAGTTTTGATCTTGCTGTGGCTATAGATTTCAATTCACACGGTTTTCGTCGTTCCCCGCACTAGGATTTGATTACCACTAAGTAAAAAAGATTAATGCTCGAAATGATTGCTTTTCAGTAGGTCTTCCATGGTGTTACTTATATTTAACTATTCAGAAACATCAGTGATAATAGAGACAAATCAAACTTTGTTTCACATGGTTCACGAACTGAATCCCTGTGTTTTTTCTCACCCCGACAGCGATCTGAGCAACGTGGAACTTTCCAAGAACCTTGTAACCAACGGGAGTAAAGATCTGTCCAAATGGACATACGAATACAAACAACAACGCGGTTCGAAAATGACCTGCGGTAAGTGATGGATTATCTTATAAAAGGTTTAATATTCCTCATGGTAACATGTATGGATACCATCAACGCACACAACACTATATTTTCATGAGGAAACAATTTAGTTCTTAAGCGTCTTGCTGTCCTAAGAAGATAATTAATATGTGAATTTCATATACTGCCCCTAACTTTCTGTTCAAATTATCCTTTTAGAACAAAAAAATTCAATCACCCCAGTCCGCCGTTCCAGTTTCATCAAACCCAGATCCATCAGCACTGTGAACAACACTTATTTGACCGAACCTTCGGATATGTCTTGCATCGGAAAACCGTCCGGTCGTTCACAACCTCCATCTCCACCAACCGAAGAACTTTCTTGCCTTACAAAGTCACCTCAACCTGTCGATGATTCACTTCTGTCACGTGGGAACCGTCGAAAATCACGTACTGCTCCTCCACCTCCATCTTCGATCTCGACCGTGTCTCGGCGAGTGTCTTTCAACCCATCAGATCGTGCTCCCTTGGCCCAGGTAGAAGCAAGTAAGTGTGCTTTGACGGTTACTTGCTCCAGATGGTTGCTCAAGTACATTTCGGCGGAAATGCTTTCATTACAAAATGTGATATAGTATGCGTACGCTTGTGCGTGCAGAATGACGTGAACGGATAACCCAGACAGCTGTATGTTGTTTAGTGGTTTAGTCCCTGTCACCGGCATGCTTTAGGCCCTATGGTTCGATTTTTAATTCACGCCACCGCCACCTAACTAAGTCATAGGCAGCTCTGCTGTCGGTCAAGCCCAACCTACTGGGGCCTTATTTGGTTTGCCACTCCAAGTCTCGGGGCTTAAGTTACCGGTTTCCATAACTGAACAGCAGGTCCTAGTGACTATGGGGTTCGCCCAGTGTGCTGTTCGTCACACTTAGGTATGTAATAAAAAAATGTGTGCTGAGTCTCGGTTCGGGCTGAAACCGCGGACAGACAGGAGGTTTTCCGTGGAGAGGTTTGAGAGAGAGTCTGAAAGAGATGAAAAATACAAACATCATGCGCGAAAGAACCAGTGAGACATGAACACGACTAGCACTCAAACGGAATGGTAAATTGCCAAGATCATTACTTGTTCTTGATCTCAATATCACTTAGTTGATAATGTCATACAGATAATTTTAATCAAGCTCTAAGCATTTTTGATCGAATCTGGTTAGTATTTTTAATAGATATCGGCACATCGAGGTTACGGTGTTGTATGTTACAGAACGAGTCCTAATGAAATACTGAGTTTCTACGTGAATACGTCTGTGGGTGTCATGTCAAGAACATATGGGAAGTGATCGATCGATATGAGACCGTTTGTTACAGTCATGTTCGTGAGACGACCACAGCAGTTCCAGGCGAAATTGAGAGGGTTCAACTGATTGTCTCTTGATTGTTAAAATACAGAATGCAAAGGGAATTGCCAATTGCTTTTACAGTTAGTTTGCAATGCAAAGAAAGAAAAATCAATTTGAGCCGAAAATTTCCAAGGGGTACATGCGCAACTCACTGCATGATCATACTACTGTTTCGCACTGCAAAGAGTAGTATGACCGGCGGCGGTGGTGGTGATAGCAGGTCAGTGGTTGTTACCACATTGAAAACTCCTCACTTATCTTCGATTATCTATCTGGTATTGCAAAGGCTTTATTGATTCCCAATCAAACAACTGCATGCTTCCTCTATGTGTTAATAGACCACACTGAAACAAGATACGCAACTATCAATCAGTGGTGCTAGTGACTACAACATTTATCTCTTCTATCTTCCACTGTAGTGCGAACGTACTTCGGGCTCTCACATTGCAGCGGAGTGAACAGAGATGCGCGACAGGATGTCCCTCGGCGTACACTATCGTAGTTGGAGATGATAGGAGGCTTTAAGAGTGACGGACGACGTTGTGGAACGGTGGCAGGGAGGCGGGACACAGGGCGGCGAGGAAACACTTGCAGACAGGTCTTCCGTGGGTCGGGGTTAAAAGTAAACATGCAAGGCAAAGCAAACAAACCGCCATGAACCAAAAACGTCTAGTGAGATAAAATATTACTGGCGCGGTTGCTAGGCGTTATACTACCATAAATGAAGTATGCCACGAAACATTTGAAGTGAACTTCTTTTTTGATTGTACGTCAGACCATCATGACCTGGTTTTCAGAAATGATAGAGCTCACTGCCCAGTTGCGGTCGGTGTGTTCCGTGGATAATGCTTTTTATAGTGCCATATGTGTTTTAGTGATTAGAGGTTGGATTTACCATATGCATGTCGTGCACGGTTTCCTGCTTCTAGCAATTTACACGTTCCGATGTGATGGTTGCCTAAAAACGAATGCCTAAAAAGCCGTATTCAACTAATCCACCGGTGACCAGTTACTATTCCATATGTCCCTCTTTGCTCAGCCAAAGATTTGGATCTGGACGTTTCCGTATGTCGTGGTCAAATGCGTGCAGCTATAACTCGCCTCGCAGACGCACTACCGTATGCTGATGACGCTTCGTCCACACCCTCAGCTCGAGGCCCAACGGATCTCGTTTCCTCTGTCCCCAAATTCCAACCAATTAAACCCCCACGTCGGAACACTTTGGGCTCAGCAAATATCAGCAGAACAGAATCTTTTACCACTGACTGGGCTCGTTCATCGCGAAACAATGGAGGGAATGGGAATGGTCCCACCAAATCAACAACCAATGGTCTTTCTCCACTCCGAACAAATACATCATCCCTGCAAACCGGTCCTCGTCGAGGCACTGTACGGACTATGATAGATCGTTTTCAAAGATAAAGATAGTGCGCCGACATCCGTACACTTGATGCCTTTTTATTGTGCATATGAAAACCTAAATTATTCAATTGTTATCTGTGCTGCAAAGGCAGTGAACACACAGTCTACACAGCTTCCAATGACTTCCTCTATCTCTTTTTCCCACCAATCCTTCTCCTCGTTCAGAACTTTCCGTCGTTTTCTTCCGGAATCCTGCTATGTTATTTTATCTTAATTAAGTTTTCTTTTCAAGGTTATTCCGGTGAGTACTCTGCTGTCGTCTTTTTGAGTTTCTTTCTGATCCGGCTCGCCACCGTTGCTTGGTTTACATACACACATACATTCGCGTATGTAATCTGTTATAATATAAACTCATCAGGTTTCCTGATTTACGAACAAAATCACAATGCGCCTGGTCCAGTCATGTGCTTTCACTTGTATACACCTATCTCGCTTTCATTTTTCTGCTCTACGATCCTCAATCCATACGCGAACTCATCGTTAGGACAATCCAGATAGGACAACAATGATCGTTTTGGTTCGTAATGAATAGGATTATCATACTATTTCGCTCCCTCTTTGTATGTACTGCTTCCATGTGCACACTTTGGCTATTTTTTGTTCCACCATCACGACTACTCACACAGACACAAGCAAACCAACTTTCATCTAACCTGAAAAGTACACCTTGCTCAGGTTAACACCGGTTGGATTTCTGCCTTCTATTCTCGTGTCCTAAATGAGCGCATTATAAATGCAAATCCCTAAATCAAGTTGAAAATAACAATTAATGAAAATTCAGTCAATCATCTTTGGTTATTTTAAAAACTGTGTACTCTAGTCTGTTGGACTCGGTTGTACGAATTACGCGTAAAATAAGGTTAGGTCAAATTGATTGATTGTTTTGGAAAAGTGATAGTCTGTGTTGAAATAGTGATCGTGATACTGGCCGATTGCTAAACCCCGAATGAAGGATTTACTTTGCGAACCTGATCTGTCATAGCCTTTGAAAGAGAGCCCTATTCCATAAGGCAGCTGATTGGGTAAATAATCCACGATGCACCGGAGACCGCCCTCCCAACTCTTATGCGTTCCGAATGCAGCCAACTATCCAGCTTACACATTTACCATAAGCTTAGCAATGAGCATCTATGTAGCATGATTCAAAATTTTACCACATTTCCTAATTCCGACTCTCGCAGATAATCGGGGCCACTATGAGTTTCGTTCGCTACCGATGTGCGATTTATGACCAAAGTCTAGCCAACCTCCGACCAACATTGGTTAGGAGCATTTACCTGTTAGCTCCTACCTCAGGCAATACAGGAAGAGTTCCTCGGTAGAGCCTATTTACCCTCTCCCCTGATCGGTTAGAACAATTTCTAGAGTTGTTCGGAATGACTAGAAATCCCGAACCGCGGGGTATTCACTCCTGAGAACAGTGTCGCGTTCGAAAGCCATTGAAGACATAAATGTGCATTTGCTGAGACACCATCGGAATGATAATCTTTGGTTTCAGTGAGGCGCATTCGAAAGAAACGCGAGACGATCGTATTCATGGCTTCATAATTGATACTTTATTATTCACCAGTTTTGCTTTTCCGGTCTTTTCCAAAGGCTCCCATCACTATGGTCAGTTCAAATCAAATAAACATCAGGCACCCAAAAGGACGAACTTTCACAATTCCCAACCAAGCACGATGGAATAACGTGTACATAAAAACGAGTAAGAAGCACGAAAACACAGTCGCATGCAATCAAAAGAAAACAACACATGCACGATAGTTGATTTTTGTCAGTTTGAAAATGATAGACACCCGCTGAACTGTTGTGTGCGAAAGACTTGGAATAATGCCATATTATAAGTACTTGCAGAGAGAAGCCTAAAGTTGGAACGAGTTTGCGGATGTGGCACACATTTGCTAAGAGACGGGCACGCACACCGTGTTCTTCGTCTCACAGTTTACGGCTGGTAACTTGACTACAGGCATCCAAAGCTGATACTCATTGAAATCTACCGAGAGAGTCTCGGAAATATCACTGCGGATAGGGAAGAAGTTTAATGGATCAGGAGATGAGCATAGAATCTTCTTCATTTAGACCTGGGAAAAATGCAGAACAGTGTAAACAGTGTGGAAGAATACTGGCTGTTGAAAATTCAACAACTACCTTTAGGTGAAAGCCAAACATTGCAGGTCTGGAAACGTAGGAGAACGGTCTTCGGCCTTTAGTGTAAATGTTTCCAACATGTTCGAACTGAGAAAGGTCTTGTGACAAAGTGAATCAGAGGTATTTGCGGAGTCGGCGTTGGAAATTACATAATCAATAACACAAATTTCTGACTGATAATTTAAAAAAGATCTGATTATGGGAGTCTGTTTTAAGGCTAAATGAAACATCCACGTATTTATTCTCATTAAAAATCACAGAGCGGGCGCAGATGAACTGAAAATTAATTTAAACAGTTTCAGCCTTGATGGAAACTGGTAAGATCAGTCGAGAGGCCTCCAGTTATTACGTCACCCGCATAATTATGCTGTAAAATCTAGGTAAATGCAAAGGTTATTTATTCATAGGAGAAAGGGATGGAGGCCAAATCACACACTGATAAGCCCGGAGTTCACTGATAGAGACGAGGGAATAATTTGTTCCGTCTGTGAAAAATAGTTGTGACGGTTTTTCGATAGCTTTTGCACATATCACTTTTCCAGTTTCATTAGCTTCCTGTTCTGTCTATTTGGTGAACATACCGATTGAGTCATTCTTTTACTCAAACTTTTGTTTACCCTATTAATATTTTTTGGTCTTCCTCTGTGATATGCTATATTGTTTGTCCTTTTATAACTGGGACTTAAGACAGTTTCTCAAGTCTGAAATATGGATTGATATATGCCTATAATAGAAACGAAGTTTCAACTGAGTTTTCCTTCGTGCTGGAAATTTCTTCCGTTGAAGTCGAGATATTGGATTTGTAAAGAAGGCTGTTCGGAGTGATTTGACAATAGTTTCCAAGGCATTGTAGTCTTAGGCCGCAATCGAAAAGATGTTAAATGAAAATTTCACCAACCCACTGCCCAAAAGCTTTCACATAATCTGAGCAAAACCATGTACCTGAGTGCCGTTAAGTAATTGTGGGGAAAGCACGCCATCTCACGGCTCTGGAGGTAAGACGAGCTTATTGGTGATGACAAAATTTACCATATTTTTCTGGTAAGAGTACACCCCAGTGGTTTGACGTGTTGAAACGGACCCGTTTTTCACAACAAAAGGTTTCCAGGATTGTTTACAAGGATACCATCAGGCAGAAAACTGAGTCGGTGGAAATGTGGGTAAAACTTATCGTGCCCAATCTCAAAATAATTAAAATTCGCATTTTACTCTCAACTACTTGTAAGTAGTGGTGTGGGATAATTGATACTGATTAGAACTGACTATCCTTCAAACTTCACTCTTAGACACGGTCCTCAGGTCATCCAGTCAGTCCGAATGTATGGCTGACTATATGACTGCACTTGAAGATGAAGTATGAAGGCTAGTCAGCTCAAAACAATTAAAATCACCTGCAACGATGCGTAAAAGCTTTCGCAAATTGTGTGTGAGGAGAAGGGGAAAATCAATCGATAGAATAACATTGGAGATCAGGATGTCGGGAGAAATGTAAATGCCAGCTTATAGGATACGAAACTGGCTTGGAAATTAAACTCACAAACAACAAAAATATTAAATAATCTCACCAGTACGCAATTTAAAATAGACGAGTCTTTTTACACCACCTCTGTTTTAGAAGTTCACACTTCGATCGCTTCGGAAAATATGAAATCCATCAAGTTGTGAACGGAGTTGCCACCCATGTCAGGATGTAACCAACTTTTCTGGAGCAGAATCACACCAACATTCTTACATTTCATTCAATGTGATATACTTTTACATAATTGAGGTGTGTCACGTCAGCGAGCGAATGTTAGTTGAGGTAACATACATACATACATACTCCGCTCGAGCGAGACAGCCAGCCCAATTTTTACTTCGATCATTGTTCGTCATTAGTTTTGTATACATCTCACGAATGAGCAAGAAATGGGAACCATGGTAATCATCGACGATAAAACTTAGAGATTTCAGAGGCGTAGAACTGTAGGATTGCGTGTGACCTTGAAATTTTACGGAATTGGTTTAAAATTGAGCACCAAACTTCTCTCCGCCTTTGTTTCGCAAAGCAATATGCGATGGCAAAAAGGGAAGGTCTAATTAAAAAGTAGTACCACCAGATTTTGTTAATCACTAAACGTCGTGTACAAATCTCAGTGAAACGTTTTCCTATAATAAAGTAATAGTATCAGTCAAGCGTTGCGACTGGTCAATCTTCCCTTGCACCTCGTGAAATGCTCCCATACAAACAAGAGTCTTGAAAAGCCTCTGCTAAGGAAGCCCTACTCACTGCCTTCTCCTGATGGAGGTGTCTTCGCACCAAAGTGAGAGGACTAAAAGCCGATATTCGGGGCTATAACCGGGTTGGTGGACCCAGGGGAGTTAATAACAAACAAACCAAGAGAAAGAGTACGAACTACACACCTCCCGGTTGCGGCAATAGTCACCGGCTCAATTGGGCATCGGGGTGCATTGGGCACTTCGGACATTTGACTCCATCCAAGGGGCGTATGATCCGACAAACCGGACACCGGCCTCCGAAGGATGGCGGTTTTCGCACACTTCCTCGCTACCTTGTGGGTCAGACTTTGGCTAGCAAACTCACCTGCCCAGGCCAGGGCAACCTGGCAGTATTCCGCCCACTTGCAACTCATGGAAGGAACGTCTTTCTTTTTAATAAAGATTATTGTACTGTGATTTGCTTGGCATACGGTCTGAATTCGGACGCATGTGAAATATAAACATATATCCCCATGTAACTGACTACGCTAACCTTGATGACAAGCTGAGTTGTACAAAAAGTTGAAACGTAATTTACGTCGTGACAACTGGTTTGATGGTGCCACAATGTTTTTAGATCACCAATTCCGAAC